CTGACTCGTTCTGGGAGTTTTGATATTGCAACTGCAGAGAATTGTTGTGTATATGTGGAGCATGGTTTCTTTCTGCCTTGGAATTATTGGCAGCATCTCCTTATTTTCTCTCAATGAGAAAGTGTTTGTAATAGGAGGTGGTGAGATATTAAGGTGCGTGCTTCTTACTGATTCATCTGCTGTGGAGAAGCTTTTCTTTCTACCTTGACTTTGACTGATTATCTCTCTATGCAGTGGATCCCTTAATGCACCTGGATGCGATGCTATCCATATCACTGAAAATTGAAGCAAGCATTGAATGCGATACTTTCATGCCTGCATTGATACCTCTGTATTTCAGCCATGGTACTCATCCTCCCCACTGGTGGAAAATAATATTCGCTATTCTTTCACCACTTATGTTCGTGTGAGGGATTTTCCGGTTGAACCTCTTAGTCAGACCAGTGGTCTGATGTCTGAAAATAGTTCAGATTCTCTCAAGTTTGACGTAAAGAATTTTTCTTTCCTGCCTAAGATGATTTTTGAGAAACATGACGAGTATTTGTATCTGAGGCTGGTTGAAGACATCATCTCTGATGGCATCTTAAAGGATGACAGGACAGGGACTGGTACTTTGTCAAAATTTGGTTGCCAGGTAATACCAAGTTGATATTTACGTAGAGAGTCCTAGACTTTTACTTGTCACATTCTGCTTCTAGTGATCACATCATCAACTCCTACTGATGGTATATTTGATGTTCATTTGCATTTTGGACATAGATGCGGTTCAATTTGCGCAAGTCTTTTCCTCTTCTGACAACTAAGGTCTGTAGTTTGCTGAGCTAATATTTATCTCGATTGCTGTGATTGTATTCGCTTTTTCAGTGATTTGTTTCCTTTTATGCATCTCCAATTTATTTTGTTCATGATATGTTTTACATCATGAGATTGACTCATATCTATATATAAAACATTTTCTGTTGCTTCCCTAAGATAGGATGACATATTAATTCTTTTTGTGGTTTTGCAGAAAGTATTTTGGCGAGGCGTTGTTGAAGAGCTTCTGTGGTTCATCAGTGGCTCAACTAATGCTAAGGTAAGATGTTACTGTTGAACATTTTTAACTGGTCTGCTCATTATCATATTATTACACCAAGGAACCATAGTGTCCAAAAGTTGTAGTTGAACAAGAAAAGAAACTGTTTGTTGAACCTAATGGCCTTGTTGTACTTCTTTGCGTGGTGTTCTAATTTTGAGTTCATGCATCTTTATGATTGTGGTTCAATTAAAAGCCAGAAGAGAGTTTTAGAAGCACATGAAGGATTGGACGAGTGCGTAGGATGTTCATGATATGCATGCATCTTTTCTTGGGGCTTGCGTGATGAAGATTATGTGTCCCTTGTTTGTCTACTTGCAGTAGTTTTCTTGTTAAATCATAATTTTAAAATGGCCGTTGGAAGATCTGTGCTTCTTGGGAGCAGAGATAATTAATTGTCGAATTTCAGAATTCTATAACCTAATTTTCTTGGTTTTGTTTATATTAGTTACATCATTTTGAGGCTCTGAATGATGTCAGCTTTATGATTGTCATCCATGATATGAAGGCTATAGTTGAAATATTTCTGCTGTAATTGTGGTTGCATGTGACAAATCAAGTAGCTCTACTGGGTGGATGTCCTAAAATTCTACATCTTGCTACATTTAGTGCCATAGAAAAATCAAATCATGTCATCTGTGGATAGTTTTTGAAGCAATGCATTCAGAGCTAGGAATAAGAGGAGTCCTCCGTTTCAATTTTTGTAAGGAATTCATGCAAAAAAGTGTTGCCCTTTTTATGCAATTAGAGCAATTAACTTTTCTAAAATGTGGCAAAATGCAATTCGGGTAACTTTGTTCATTGCAAAAATAAAATCTGACAAGAGTTAATGTGGTTGCATGCGAAGACTATATTTAGAATTTTAAAGAAGCATTTTGTTTCAGAATTTGGTATCCATTAGAACAATTGATAGATATCATGTCACCTGACAATGAGTTCATACAAGAATGTGGTTTCTTGCCTTAAAAATCTGCCACAGAATATGAGTGAATTTTTTGGCAGTGGGATGAGTATTTACTGTACTCTACAGGCCCTGCAGGAAAAGGGGATTCATATATGGGATGGCAATGCATCCAGAGACTACCTTGACAGGCAAGTAGTTGGATCTTTCTAGGTGTGTGATTTAACTTGTCACACTTTTCTGATTGATATAGTTATTCTTTCTATTTCAGTATTGGTTTGTTGGATTGGGAAGAAGGTGACTTAGGACCCGTCTATGGGTTTCAATGGAGACATTTTGGTGCTAGGTTAGTGAATTTTACTTAAATAGTGATCCATATTTCTAGGAAGTTCAACTGATATTGACTTAAGGACTTGTGATATGCAGCTATACTGACATGCATGCCGACTACACTGGCCAAGGATTTGATCAGTTGTTGGATGTCATTGGCAAGATTAAAAATAATCCAGATGACCGGCGGATTATTCTGTCAGCTTGGAATCCTTCTGATATCAAACTGATGGCACTTCCACCTTGTCACATGTTTGCACAGGTTAGTATTACAAAGTTGATGGATGCTTTTTTTGTTGGTGCTCTGCCATTAATTACACTTCATTTTCTTTGCTTTTTTAGTTCTATGTAGCCCAGGGGGAGTTATATTGTCAAATGTATCAGCGTTCTGCCGATATGGGTCTGGGTGTGCCATTCAACATTGCATCTTATGCACTCTTGACATGTATGATTGCTCATGTTTGTGGTAAGCATTTCATCACAAAACAGGTAACATTTTAATGATTGTGTCCATTTCTTGTTCGAATCTTTAGCAAGAGGCCATGTGTGGCATCTGACTAATTTTTGTGTAAAGTCAAATCCTTGAATGCTGGGTAATGATACAGATTCTCCATGGATCTACTAAAGCAGAAACATCATAGTTTTTCTTTTTGTACCACTTTGGCTGATTTGTTTGATTAATGCTAACTACCTTGTGTTTGGCACACCAGTTGATTTCTGTAGATTATTCTGATTAGTGTCTTTATTTCCTTGCCATTAGGATGTGTTCTCTCAATTTGTCCAAATCCCACTGTTATCTTTTTTACAGATCTTGTTCCAGGTGAATTTGTCCATGTTATTGGGGATGCTCATGTCTATCGCACTCATGTCAGACCTCTGCAGGACCAACTCCAGAAACTACCTAAACCTTTTCCAGTAAGGATAATAATAATATACAACCAGATTTCATATTATGTGATCAATCTGTCTTGCAATTTTTGGTTTTTCGAAAGGAACATGGTTTTCGTAATTCCTTTTGTTTAAAAAAAAGGTTGTAAGTTTATTCCTTGTCTCTCCTTGAATGCAGATTTTGAAGATCAACCCTCAGAAAAAGGACATTGATTCCTTTGTAGCAACTGATTTTAAGCTCATTGGTTATGATCCTCACCAGAAAATAGAAATGAAAATGGCCGTGTAGAATTGGTGATTTTCTTGAAGTTCCGCACTCCCTATTCAGGCTATATCTGCTATTGTTTTAAAGGCAAGTATTTAAATACCAACCCCCCCTGGGGGCCTGGGAGGGTTGGCTTTACTCTCCTTCAATCCTCCCAAAAGATACATATATAAGCCCACAAGATAGAACCTACTATGCTTTTAATTCTAACCCCCAAAACAACTAATAAGTCCATTTTCGGTCATGATATCGATGTTATCTAAGATGACTTGGTAGAGTCCAAGCACTATGATATTGATTGCATGATGCAAAATTATTGGATGGTCATTATCTAAAAGAAGTCTCAACCATCAATCATCATAAATTTTTTTGGATAATTGTAATAATAACTTGTTCAAAAGATGGAATGAGCAGAGTCCATTGTTTAGTAAGTTCCTATGGTTCGAGGATGTTTTTCAGACTGCCATATGAGACTTGGATTTAGGTACTGGATGGTTGTTACTGTAAGGGTGTTCCAAATTGTTGATAAAGCTATAAATATAATTTGCCTTTCCATGCCAAAAGTTTGTCAATACAGCATTCAACCAAAGTGCGTGTTATTCCTTGGCTTAATTCTACTTCTGACAAAGCTATATGTATATATATATATAATTTTCTTCACTGTCAAAAGTTATATTTTGTCGGTAGTACATTCAACCTTAGTACATGATATTCCATGGCTTAATTCTAGTTGTCTGTTTCAACAAAGAGTTCTATTTTTATATGTTTTTTTTTTTGGGGGGGGGGAAGGGTCAGAGAATCTTGTTGCTATTAGATTTGGATAATTTGAGAATTGAGGTGCTGCTTTTAGTTGTTATGTAATGCAGCTTCTCTGTCACGTAACAGCTGAACAGTGATACATTATATCTGTTAGAGGCATTACACGAAAACCAATTGGTAATGGATGACGAAGCCCCTCAACCATATAAACCAATATCGGGTGGCCCTAATATTTTTTTTTTTTTTTGGGGGGGGGGGATACAAACTCTCTTCACAATATTAGTTAATATTTAGACCATTAATACTCCAATGCAATTCTTCATGCACAATTCTCATCTGGACTCCTTAATAGTGGGAGTTTTCCTATTTTGTTTGGGCTGAAGCTTCCCTGTAGGTTGATTGTTTTCATGTCAACAAGTTCATAATTGAAATAGTTACAGAGATCTTTGCTTGAATTTGGGGCAATGAACATGTTTTATGCACATGATGATTTGGTGATCAAAGATTTGATGATCTAGTGAGTGTTGCAGGAGGGATGAACTAGGGTGGTCTTATCATATGTGATTTGACTTGATATGCTATAAATATTGGAGTCCATTATTTGTAATGTGATATAAATTGTTGATGGAAGTTTAATTTTGTGAAATGTTTTGATAATGATGCAGGCAGAGGTACCAGGGGTGTTGGCCAAGAGTTATAGACAAATGAAGAATGACTGAGTGGGTATTTTAAAAACTCATTGCATCCGTAGGAATTGAGAATCCTTTAGTTCCACACATTGAATTGATGGTTCTAAGGTGATTTAGGACACACATTTCATGTTTCGAGGATTGCGGTTTTTTTTTGTCCGTTCACTTGAAGCTGCTATCACTTTCTATCATGATGCATGTACTCTGCTTGGATACATGTGACACTTATATGCTTACTATGTTTCTCCCCCTAATATTTCTAGTCCTTCTCCAAATGTGAAGATCTGCAGTATAGCGGACACCATTTGTGCCATTGACCTGCTTAGTTGTAGTAATATATGTGTATAGGATGCTGCCAATCTAGCTGCCTTCAAATTAAATGGACAAACATTATAGCTTCTGAATGCTGGGCACTACGATGCTGACAGAGTTGTTCAATAATACAATGGGAAAGGTTGTCGTGTTTTAGGGATATTATATATAAATGCGTGTATATGTTGTGTTTTCATATATATTTTTGGTGGATCCCATCCCAAAGCACAGGGATCGGGGGATTGTTATGGGGGATTGCAACAGTATTGAGATGATGGAAATCAATTAACCAAACCAATATGATGTGGATGGAGAAGTGGCAAGGATTCCCTTTCCCGATGTTGTTGCTAAGAAAATCCTAGCTCACCATTTTGCGGTCAGCTAGGCTGTATTGGGTGCCAATTTTGAGTGTTTCATGTACTTAGGGTGCTGGAGAGGATAACAGTTTTCAAGAGCAAAAAAGCCCGAGCAAAAGATCCCTTAGGGGTCGAGCGCCAACTCGGAGGGTAAGATCTTATCTGAATGAGTAAGACCTATCACTTTAAGAATAGTGCCATTTTGAGTCTTATAATCGATCCATGAACAGAGCTAAGAGAACCTGCGCACGCAAGAGAAGTGCTACGGACAAGAACCAAAGGTGGCCAACGGCTAAGGAGCAGTCTAAACGAAATAGAACAATGACTCAGCATAGGGTGAAGAGAGAAAATTAGATAGACGTTAGTGGAAGAAAGCTTCTGGACATATATAAATAGGTCGATCCAAGTTAAATAAAACTGCTAGGGTATGGGGGTGTGAGTTGATGATCTTTTAAAACAGCTTGAGGAAATGGTGTTCTTGGATTGAGTTCTCCAGGATGCTTTGGCTTTGTTCTCTTTAGATGGGGGTCAGAGGGACGTACTGGGCTCAATCTATTAATGCAGCCACCCCACCTTATGCAGATCTATAGACCAGTTGCTTTGCTTCAGAGTGGCTATGAACCACAATTATATTCTCCTACTATTGGTGCTGAGTTGATGACTTGAAAAACTATTTTGTTAGGTAGTGAAAGGGTTGTTGGTAACCCTTTTTTTGACTTGCAGGATTGGCTTGACTCGACTCGGCCTTGAACCATGGGCAGACATGGACGATTGACAGTTGGGTCGGACGCCCATTGTCTACCCTTAAGACATAGAGCAGCATCAACTCCATTGGTTTCTATAACTCCTGACCTGTTCTAACACCACTCAGGAAAAGGATAGACAATGTCTGAGAATCGTTTGGAAATTAGATAGGGGAGAATGGAGCTCGGATACTTGGATTGGAGTGAACCAATGGAGTATATTGTAAGTAAACGTTAGTCCAAGTTCTGGACTAGTTTTAGAGTTATACAGAACATTAAAGTGAGTACATTATTGTGCAATGTTTATCTTAGTATCACATTATATTTTACTTTAAGAGGTTTTTTTCCCTCTTGATACCTCGGATTCAGATTATTACATTAATATGTATAATTTTATTGATATATTATACTTTTTGTATATAATAAAATAGATATTTTTAATCCTATTCGTATTTTATTATTTAAGATTTTGTTTTTCGTATCTGTGCGTACTGGAATGAAAAGGTGGTGGGAATTGACAGTCTAATTTTTTATAGTTTAACAGTCAAGAATATTTAGGTCAGTTTACGAGTATAACTCGATAAATCTTTTTTCTAATTTGATCAAAGATAGAAAAATTAGAGTAGATTTACGCTCAAATTAGAGTATTGAAGAGGGATATCTCTGGTGACAGTCTGGTGGTTTCGTTTGTGCTTTTCTTCGTCATTTCCTCGTGGTCGTGGGTCTTGGCAGCTGACTTTCTAGATTGACGTATTGACTGTGGCATGGAATTTAATGGAATGGCTTGGGGGGCAATATTAGTCTTGGCTTGTAGGGTCCAGCTCATTAGTCCTATTGATTAACTGACTATTAATTCGTCAACGTCATTGATATTTTTTTCGTTACAATTTTTTTTTTACAATTTTACATTTTTGTAAATTTTTTATCATTCATTTAAGTGAGATTTACTATTTATAAGTGGGTCATTCACTCGAACGTGATGGATAAAATCTACAATTGAGTTGAAATTAAGTAAAAATGTAATGGATGAGATTTGAATTCGTATACTAGGTTGGAAGTGTAAGTGTTTGTTATGCTTTGCAGAGTTCCATGCAAGTTTCCCCCTATAAATCTTCGCAAAATCCCTTGGTATCCTTGGATGCCTTGTTCTTCTTTTGGGTCCGACAGTATTATAGGGAGAGAGGCGACGAGTCTTAAACCCGTGACCGTAAGATCCAATAGGGAAGGTGGTGGCCAGTGGGCCCTATTCAGTTTAAGGTTTTCCTACATTAAAAGCTAATTCGTAGTTTACCCAAAAGAGTTATGAATTCATCAAGTACTTGTCCTCAATTCTAAGTTTGCTTACCACTGGGCTAACCCTTTTGGTTTCTTTTCGCTTTTTAAATTGGTTAGCAAGTGGTAAATTTAGTATTTTTTTAGAAAGAGAGGATATATTAGCAAATTTTGTTAGTCAACCCAACAGTTCAATAAGGGAGAGAGAATCCAACACATAAAAATCCAAACCACAAGGGGCTGTAGTTTAATTTTGGTAACAATGAGTGTCTTGCGTATAATTTCAGCAACTCAAGAATGGGTGTGAGTGTAATTCTCCATTCTGGATGGACAACTTAAACAAAGGACCTCAGTTTTCTCTCGTCCCCTCTGACAATAACAGACAAATTAAACAAGTTGGATTGTTTGGATGGTGGTGGGAGGGCGACGACAAGAGCTAGGACCAGGGGTTAGGTAAGAGCAACTCCGATAATAAAATGTATTTTACCTAGTTAAAGAATAATATTTTCTATTTTAACTATTTATTTTTTTAATACATATTCTAATAAATTTTTTATATTTTTAAATATTTTTTTTAAATATTATTTCTCATTCTTTTTGTATTATGTTTTTTAAAAATAGTAAAAGAGAGAAAGAGAGAGAATGAAAGAAAGGAGAAGAAGAGAGATAAAATAATATAAATTATCTTTATAAGTTGCTACAGTAATACTCTATATTTAGAGTATCACTGTAGCAAAAATTTATTTTAAAGTATGTGACCATAATCTGTTGGAGCATGATTTTTGGTTTTGATTAACTAAATTTTAACTATTTTACTCATTTGAAGCATTTGTTGGAGATGGTCTAAGATGGATGAATTTTGTGTACCTAGGGAGGGAAGGGTACGAGGTTAG